TACACAGATGATTCAACCATAGAATTCGCCACATCAGATGATAAAGTCTTGAATACCATTAAAAAGCTGCAACATTCCTCGAGTGTTGAGCAAAGGTCTAAAGCCCTAAATAAACTACTCACCATTGGTGAGGGGTATTATCGTAAATCATGCAAATTGCATGAAGAAATAGATTACTTTGAGAATTACATGGAGAGGGACTTTTTTCATGTGGAACCACTTGAAGATGAAGAGCTGGAAAATTGGCATAATTATTTGGATTTCATTGAGAAGCAAGAGGATTTTGATTGGGTATGGTAGAAAAATAGAAATAGAATAATATGAAAGGTGGATACATGAGTTTTATAAAATATAAGATGAAGTATTTAAAAGGAAATATCTACTTAATACAGGCTGTGAAGGTGTATGAAAGATGCTTAATCCCATGTGCTAATTACCCTGAATTCTGGATGCGATATGTGGAGTTTATGGAATCCAAAGGGGGAAGAGAAATAGCAAAGTTTGCTTTAGAAAGATCCACACGTGTATTTCTAAAGGTGTTTTTTTTTTTTTTTAATTTATGTCTCTTTAATTCTTTAATTTCTTTGATATTTCACATTTGACATGTTTCCAAACTTGTTTACAATGTATAAAACTGATTAGAATCAGTCAAGATATGGATAATAGTCTGTTCCCAATAGTTTTATAAAATAAAATTGTAATTTTTTTTACAAGTTTCCACAATTTATTCGTAAATATGCATTTATAAAACAAAAAATAGCTTCACAAAAAAAATTCAAAAGGGCAATTTTGTCATTGTTTACATTCCAAAATCCAATTCCTTTGGCAGATTTACAAACCAAACAGAAATATACAAAGGAATGGAATTGAACAATCAAACGTGTGACAGATTCCAATTCTTTTCAAAACATAATCAGATGCAAACTAAGTTTAATTTTATAAGAATTAGAAATCTTTTCACATTTCTTGTATATATTTTGTTATACAGGATGTATCAGAGGTGCATATTTTCAATGCAAGATATAGAGAGAAAATAGGAGATATTGAAGGAGCTCGTGCTGCATTTCAGCTTTGTGATACTTCTGAATCTGATTCATCTTTCATTGAAACCGCAATAAAAGAGGCTAATATGGAGAAACGTCTGGTAAACACAATCAATCATCAATCATGACTATTATTTTATTTGCATTTTTAGCAAAAAAAACCAACTGTTTATATTTTATAATAAACAGGGAAATTTGGATACAGCTTTGGACATTTATAAAAAAGCACTCAAAATGGCAGCAGAAAAGGAGAAGATGCATATTATCCCTATTCTCTATATTCACTTTTTCCGTCTCAAATACCTGGTATGCATTTTGTAACAGTTATATAAATTTATTTATAACTGATTATTGTTATATCAGTTTGAAAAGATTTTTGATTATCATATTTATTGCCTGTTTGTAGATCACTAATAGTGCAGATGCTGCAATGAACTTACTAATAGCAGGTGTCCAACAAGTACCTCATTCCAGATTACTTCTAGAAGTATGTTTCTCTCTCTCTCTTCTTTAAAAAAAAAACTAAAATGACAGTGGCTTCAATGTACTAAGGCGGGTACCTGGTTGACTCAGTGCAAGTTTTTTTTATAGGAATTGATTAATTTTGCAATGACACATGAAGGATCAAGACATTTGAAGAAAATGGACCGAATTATGGCGACTACTATAACTTGTGAATCAGAAAGTTTAAGTTCCAAAGATCGTGAGGATTTGTCAAATTTGTATTTGAAGGTTAACAATCTTTTACTCCAAATCACATTATTATTAAATTATATCAATATCTCATGTCATTCATTATACAAATAAGAAGTTAACCATTTTTATGTGTGTGCTAATTATACAGTTTGTTGACCACTGTGGGACCACGAATGACATAAAAAAAGCATGGAATCGTCACATAAAATCTTTCCCTCGCCTAATACGAAGACCTACCTCTTCACACAAACAACCAAAAGAAACACAACCCTCCGTGGTTCATAGTATTGACCATTTTGCCCCTACTTCACCTGATAACAACCCCAAAAATCAAGAACATGAAGTTATATCTGAACCAAAACCAAATGAGCTACAAATATCACAAAATTTAGATCAAAACACAACCAATGAAGCTGAAATGCTTGAGAAAACGGTTTCTTCTGAAAAAGAACCCACCGCCCTTGAGGATACTCAACCGCCTGTAACCGCCAGTCAAAACTCCTCTCCAGTCACCGGAACCACCACCAACCACCACGAAACCGAAAAAGGTTCCTCACATCAACAAAATACTAAAAACCCTAACCCTACAAAAGAAAACAAGGGAACTGAACCGGTTGAGCCTGAGCCACAGGCTCAACCGGTTCAACCGATGGTTCAGTATCCTGTGCAAAATACTGAACCACCGGGGCTTGGTGTCCAGAACACACAAGCTTACAATCAAATGTGGCAATATCAATACCAACAGAATCATAATCAGCAACAATGGCTGCAAAAGCAACAGTCTTATGTAATGCCGCCAGAGCCGCAGCGGCTGCCGCCACAACAACAAGCTTATGTTCAGCAGCAGTATCAGTTGTATCAACAGCAGGAACAATACCAACAGTATTGGTATCAGATGTATCAACAACAACAACAGCAACAAGGATATATTAATATGCAACAATATCAACAGGTGTGTGTTATCTCTTGAATCTTAATTAATTAAAACTTCAAAAATAAAACTATTTATACAACAATATTTCACGTTTTGGCTTTTGCTATAATAAACAAATCAATGAAAGTATATTCCTATTTATGCAGGGTCAAGTTCAAGGGGATGATGCCACCAAATACGGGTTTTGAGCAATACACACAACAACCGGTGGGTCCACGTGGACCAATAAACATCACGTCTCCAACTAATCCCCATCAATCTTCCCATGGGGGCCTCGTCACACCCTGCAAAATCTGCACGTTCTTCGTCTTTGGAGAGAACTCTCCATACTTGATCTCTAACATTTTACGTTTATGGTTTTATTTGTAATTTTGAGGTAAATGAATCATATTGTTATAAACCTTTCAAAATATATCCAGAAATCTAATATGTGAATTAATCCCACATTTTAGAGGGTGTTATTAGTTTTGAAATTTTTTGGGAATTCAAAATTTGGAGGGAAACATAATTACCAAGGGTTTTCAGAAATTGGAGGGAAACATAATTGCCAAGTTTTTGTAGAAATTGGAGGGAAACATAATTTGCAAGGCGTTTTTTTTCCCTCTAAAAGAGGGTTTCGTCCTTCAAAAATTGAAACTTCAGTGTTAAAATTTTGCATTGAAATATTGCATTCAATCCTTGTTTAAAAAAATATAAACTAATATATATATATATATATATATATATATATATATATATTAAAAATTATGTAAATTTCCGTTCACTAATTTGTTTTAATTAATGTTGATTTTATAAAATAAAAAAAAACGTACTTTTTGACAAATAAATGTTTGAAGTTTGAGTGTTGCCAATGAGACTTTTAGTCAACTTGTGGTCAGTGTTGGGAGAGTAGAGTGAACGCGCTGAAAGGAGATGGTGGATAAGTACCGCCGTCATGTATACGTGTAATCATTTTACTGGTCGATAAGTTATATGTTTGCATTTTCATTTTGTCAACCCCTTATGGTTTGATCAATTGTCACCTAGACCCATTTAACTTATTTTGATAGTTGTAAACCAAACCAATCATTTTAATTGTTTAAGTATACGAAATATTAAAGAATATTCACTTTAAATAAGTTGTTATTTATATCATTGAGCTTAAACTTAAATAAATACTTTTATTTTGATGTTTTACATGTGTTTTGTAGATCTTCAACAAGAATATATTATTTGTGTATGTATGTTGTAGAGCATGTATCTACACAATTATTTAGTGCATAACACCTCATGTTTTTTTATGTTATTTTTTTTTTTTCTCTTCAACTAATTTTAACTCTCATTCAAAAAGCGCATGGAAGTCCTAAGTCAAATTCATTTTCGTTATATTATAGTACATTGAAGATTCATATCAAAGTAGTGAGCTTAAACATAATCACATAGTGAATAAGGATGATAATGAATTGAATATATAAATTAGTCGGTCTCTTATATCTATTATGTCCCCAATATCCGATACATCCCCGATTACCTCAATTATATTAAAATATACTTAAAGGCCTACCTTATTTAACACAATCAAAGTTTCAAGTGCGTTCTTACATATAATACAAGATTTATATCAACTATATATATCAAACATAATCATCCAAGCTAATTATTAAATTCAAAGGATCATAATTTTAACATAGGTATTTTTAGCAAAATAAACGTTGGGATACTTGGAAGAATAATGATTGTGTATAGATTTAAGTGCGGATAAAGAGTTAGAATAAACAAAATTGATATAATAGTCTAATTTCATTGTTTAACTTATGCTACGTTAATGGATATAGATTCATTGTTGTATTGATGTTATTTTCTTCTAATGATAATAAATGCTTATATTTCTTAACTTTATGGTTGCTATTTTTATTTGAGTTATTGTGATGATAAACAAATCTTTTATATAGATTTACTATTATAATATTAGATGAGAAATTAAATATCCTCTTACATTTTGTTCTTATTTTTATTCCTACTTATTTTATTAAAGATGATGAGAACTGTATAAATTTAACATCCCAATCAAATTTAAATTAAATAAAATGATACTTGTCACCATTTAAAATATATAGGAAATTCTTAGACACAAAAAGTAAAAAGATATTTAATTTCTCAATATACAGCTTGATTTGATACATATATAGATAACCTTAAATATATTTGTTTATATATATATATATATATATATATATATATATATATATATATATATATATATATATATATATATATATATATATATCAAATCAGGCTGTATTTATATATGTATTAGATCAAGTTTCAAACATCACCTATAATTTGATATGGTACTTGAAGAATAAAATGATAAATAATTTAAATAAAGTTTTTAATATGTAGGTTATTTCAAAATTTCAGAGTTATTATCAAAACTAGTTCTCTTGCATCGAATCCCTCCCCACTATACTATTAAATAACCTATTATTAATAACAATCATACAAACGATATTTAGTAAAGGGACTAAGCATGCAACCTTCACAAAGTATAAGGGTCTTGAGAATAAAGAGAGAGCGACTGCATAAAAGCGCGTCAATCACAGAGAAAGGGAGAGAGAAAGAAAGAAAGAAAGAAGAGGACTTGGGTTTGGGGGTTTGATATACAAAGGTAATCAAGAACGCATAATCTTTACTGTACATGAATGATCAGTTTCTGATTATTTGATCTTTGATCACGACGGATATGATTGTTAATTGAATTATATATGCATAAATCTATACATATATGTATGTTTTTCAACTTCATGACTCAACTGCATCGACCAGCTTCGTCTTGATTAAGGTTTGTTGTATTTTCTTGATTCTTTTCTGGAATTAATATTTCGGCTATGAGGAATTCGCTTACGATCATCTTCTTTTTCATCAGTCTCGTCTGTGTTGACTTTGATTTTAATGTCGTTTAGTTGAAATTGGAGTTGGATTATCGTTATTCGTAGTTGACTCGTCTGAATTTATGAACACGGGATCATGAAGGTGAAGCGCGAAACACGACAAACAGTCGCTAATGTCTTGTAGTAGTTTTCAGCTTGTTTGTTCGAAACTTTTCCGTTTCAATTTTTTTTTATATATTGAATTTGATTGCTTGTGGAACTTTGTTTATTGACTTTAATTGAAACTGAAATTAGGGTTTTTGATTGATTTTATGGAATCTATAGCACTAGATCATGAGCGTGAAGGTTGATTCCACACACACATACACGCACACACGTTGATCTCACTTTAATTTTTTTCTTTTCTGATTTATCTATAAGTGAAAGTGATGTATGGAGATGGTCTGATCCAAAAACGCGTTTCTTCAAAATAGTTCGTGTGTTTGTCTGGATCTTTTGATGCATAAAGGTCATGGTTGAATTAGAAATATTTTTCAAAGAAACATATTTGATTCTTTGCAAGATCGTTGAATTATTAATATGTTATCTGAAGAAAACTTCTAATTTTTATGGCTGTTTTACATGATTGCTATTGAACAACCTAATTAAACTATGATATCTTAATGTATTACTTCTTTTTCTTTTGGTTAATTGCAGACATTTGAAGGTATTCTGTTTGGCCACTGATGTTTTTTAGTCAATATTGTGATACACATCATAAGCACAGAACAAATGCCATCACTACAGATGAAGATGAAGTCAACCATGGGGTGTTTGAGAGAAAAGAATGGCCTCCATGTATGTCAAAAATCCAGCAAGATTTCCAAGAACTCTTCTTCACATATCAGGAGTTTCCATCAAGAAGCTCAACTTGAGACTTGTATTTCTAACAAACACGATGGTAATAACCTAATTTAGCAGTTACACTAGATTTTTTATGGGGTTAAATGCAACAAACAACAACATACTTCCATTGATTTGTTTATTATAGAATCCTACTTTCATTTCTCATTAAAACACCATAGTTTGAAAAATCCACCCAAGTGTTGTTGTTTTTTTTTTTTTCTTCTTGTGATCTGATTTTCTTGAGCAGCTAAACATGCTAAGTTTATGTTAATTCTACTCTTGAAAACATCAATCTTGTTGATGATCTTGTTTTCTTTGATCTCATTTTGTTTTTCAGCAGATTCTTTCTGCAATGAAGCAACTATGCAGGACATTAGAAGCGATGAAACTAACTGTTGTGAACATCTAGAAGAAGAAAGTATTCAGGTTCCTAAATTATCTCCAAACTGTGTTACATAGGCTGCATCTGCTACACTGGACTGGACAAGCTCTCTATTTTTGATAATGGGGACGAAAGGGCATTCTCGTCTTTTCTACAAAGGAAATATCAAATTCATGTTCCCCCTTTTTGGGTTGGACAAAAATTGCAATTTTTTTGTCCCATTGACATGAGTTCTGCCTTGTTATGTACAAAGATCCATGTCTCTTGTGTTTTTATCATAATTCTTCAAGATTCCCATTTGAGTTTCTCTTACTTCAAAAAGCTTTACAACTACCAACATTTAGTTATGACAGTTGTAACTGATTGCAGGATCATACACAAACTAACTGCTCTTCAGCCATAGAAGTGGCATCATCAGGAGATGAAGATAGAAACTCATGTGAATATCAAAGTTGTAATGTCTCAGATTTCTTCATCTCAGACATGTCTGTTTCAAGCCCACCCATTGAAAGGAGCTCTTCATCATATGGCATTACAGAAGCCACATGTTTGCCTGATTATGGATGTGATGAATCAAACATATTTTTCGATGATGATTACATGATACTTCCTTTTCTTGAAGACAGCATTGACACTTGCAACAAGGAGGAGGATGACAGCAGAAACAGTTTAGAACCTGTGATGGTTTCAGAAGAATCAAGCTTATATTTAGCAATTCATCAGCTGAGATCATGCAATCAGGAGATTGAAGTTAATAATTATCCTGAATGGGATCCTGCTGAATGTTTGGATCCACAAATGTTTGTTAAAAATCTTCCTGACCTTTCAGAAGTTGAAAGAAAAACTGTCACATTAGCACTTGATTTAGATGGTATGGAAACATTTTGGCAATAATTTCTTTACTATGTTTCATTAACAATAATTTGTTGATTTTGGAATATGCAGAAACACTGGTGCACTCTTCATTGGAACACTGTGATGATGCAGACTTCACATTTTCAGTATATTTTGATCTCAAAGAGCATACTGTGTATGTAAAGCAGAGGCCTTACCTTAGAGAGTTCTTGGAAAGAGTATCAGAAATGTTCCAAATTGTGGTGTTCACAGCCAGTCAGAGCATTTATGCAAAACAACTTCTTGACATATTGGATCCAGATGGAAAAATCATCTCTCATAGGGCATATAGAGACTCATGTATGTTCACAGATGGAATTTACACCAAGGATTTAACAGTTTTAGGTGTTGATCTTGCCAAAGTTGCCATCATTGACAACTGCCCACAGGTAATGTTTGTAATTTTATCTTTTTTTTTTCCCATTCCATTGAATTGTAAAGTTTACTTTTATCTATAACACCAATTCCATTATTTGGTGGTTTTAGGTTTTCCAGATGCAAGTGAACAACGGGATTCCAATAAAGAGTTGGTTTAATGATCCATCAGATTGTGCATTAATTACACTTCTGCCCTTCCTAGAGACACTAGCAGATGCTGAAGATGTTCGTCCAATAATTGCCAAGAGATTCGGTAACAAGGAATAAGTGTCCACCCCTTGTTTCTCATAATTTCACGTAACACCTCTTTCCATTTTCAAAAAAAAAAAAGAAAAAAATTAGATGCTTAATATAATTATCCATACAATAAAACATTGTTGGCACATTGTCACCCATGATGTTTTGTCTAATTTCTGTTTTTCCAGTGTACAGTTATAGAATCTATTAAAAGTGTGATTTTACTACCTTCATTGTTCTTTACACTTAATTTTTTTTTTATTATCTATTACACTAGTTAACAAAAAACATTGAATACTTGCTTAATTATAACATAATAACAATCGTATACTTAATAGATGCACAATTTAGTACGTGTTATCAGGAAGACTGATGGTGGAGGTGAGAACTTAGAAGAACATAATCGTGCACCGTGCGTTAGATTACCATTTTACCCTTATGTGCAGGTCACATGAAGATCTTTAATGGGTTCATTGTCAAATGCCATTCCTATAGGTATTTTTCATTCGTTAATCATTATTAAGTTACAGCTTTTTGTCCCTAAATCACTGTTTCTTAACCTAACCCTTTTATCCTTGTAAAATGACCATTTTGCCCTCCCCACAAATCTTCTTCTTCAAACCAAACTTTTGTGAAACCCTAGATTGTTTGAAGTACTGATGTTCTTGACTCAGGTTGTGGTAGACTCACAAAAAGGTAGACTTTTATTGACTTTTCATGAGTGTTGACTTCTTATAGTGTTATTAACGTCCCCTAAACTTAAATCCCCTAAACTTACTTCTAACAATTTTGTTGGCTTGTAGATTTAAATCCCCTAAACTTACTTCTAACAGGTAGATTTGTGTTTAACTTCTTATAGTTTTAACAACTAAATTTGTGTTGACTTGTTTTCTGTTAAAAATGTAGCAGGTAGATTTGTGCTGACTTTTTTTTTTTTTTTTTTTTTTTTTTTTAGATTTTGAAGTTTCTAACTCCCCTCACCCTCTGTATTATATAATGATTATGTAATAATACATACAGGCCCTGCATATTGGCTTAGCTTGTTCTAATATTATTAGATATTCTATCATTCATTGTATGGAGCTGATAAAAATTATTTTACAAGATTTAAAGTGCTTTTATTTTAAACTTATGGTTCTGACGTTTTTTTTTTAAATTTTCCATACCATTAAAAATATCTTAAAGATAAGTCATTTTGCATTATATCAACTCACAAAGTGTGTGCCACTTCTGATGTGTAATTTAGCTCAACTTACATTAGTACTTGTGTAACCTTTAATTAATGATACTAAAATAACCAACAAAATATTTATAAGAAATTAAGAAGCAAATGATCGACCTCCAAGGTCAGCTTGATTGCCCACCACTTTTTATAAGTTTGTATTTCATATGTCAAAGATCATTTATAAAAAGTAATCATTTGGTTATCTGTTTCTTTCCTATACCTCCTTACTACTCCATTTGTATGAGATTATGAGTCTGTTGTTGCCATTGTTACATGGAAACAAACGACATTGTAGCGAAGCTTATGATTTTGCTATTGATTAATGCCCTCATGTTATCATCATCGAAAATATCTTTCAAAAGTTTGACAGTCTTGTACTAGCTTACAAAATTAACCTAAGTGACAAAACTGGCAAATAAATTCGGAGAAACTCAAAGAATTGCTAATAGGTCAATTGCAACTTTTTATCAACTCAAAACGTCCTCAAACCAAAAGGATGAATATAATACTTATGAGATGGTTTAGAAATTAACTCCATATGATGATTAATCTAATTTGTCCATTAAATAACTAAATAGGTTCTAAATAAACCAAGATTAAGCCTAATTAAAACGATTACATTGGAATGCTGTCGTGACCTAGTAAATGAACCCAAATGGATAAAAAGAACATTACATTATGGCAACATGATAATTTACTCCCTACTAATTAGGTTCAAATTTTACTATGTATCCTTTTTAGGTCCATATTGTCAATAATTCAAGGTTCCTATTGTCAATAATTTAAGGTTCCTACAACTTTTTGGATGATACACTATAGTTATGGTTTTATATATTGCGACTTCCCATTTTGGTGCTCATTATAGTTTGATTGGCAAAACACTAGATATGTTTATTAGAGAGAAAGTCTTTTTATATTAGTTATAATCCGAACATATAGTTTTATGCCAACCCCCAAAAAAAGGTTGAATCCCGACAACCGGATCACACCAAACAACCCCAAGATCATTATAGGCGTGTTCGGCAAAACTAGCTGGTAACAGGTAGCTTGTAGCTTGTAACGTTTTGGTGCTCATTATAACTTTTTGGATGATACACTATAGTTATGGTTTTATATATTGCGACTTCCCATTTTGGTGCTCATTATAGTTTGATTGGCAAAACACTAGATATGTTTATTAGAGAGAAAGTCTTTTTATATTAGTTATAATCCGAACATATAGTTTTATGCCAACCCCCAAAAAAAGGTTGAATCCCGACAACCGGATCACACCAAACAACCCCAAGATCATTATGGGCGTGTTCGGCAAAACTAGCTGGTAACAGGTAGCTTGTAGCTTGTAGCGTTTTGTTAAACGCTACGTGAAGTAGCTTTTGGATTTGAAACGTTTCGTTTAAACTAAACTCTAGAAGCTTGTAGTGTCAAACGAGATTTTCTATTCAAAACGGAATATTTTGTCAAACGCTAGAAGCTAGAAGCTCTCAAACGCTTCCAAACGCTCTTTGCCGAACACGCCCTATGTGTTAAGAAATCCAGATACTCGGCAACCCACTATGATTGGGAACTGACCGGCTAAGAGAAACTTCAACCATGGGAAACTTCTAAGCCTTTACACATATCATTCGTGTTATCTTAAACATCAAATGTCACCTTAGAACCAATTAAGTTATGACTCTGAGGCAAACTATATAGCTTTGTTATGTTTTGTATGCATTTTTTCATATACGTCAATCACATATTTACTACATTGTTTATGTATATATGTATGCTAAGCATGTGAATGTATGCAAGGACGCACCCATACACCCATACACCCATGAAAACAAAGGGTTTTATTTAATGGATGTGTGTGGATGTGTCTATACTCTATGTACATGTGAATGACCATATTGTATAATAAACATATAATATACAAGTATTACTCCTAGATGGTTATTCACACGTGAATGACCAATGTACCTATTGTCTTAAGTAACAAATATGATATTATTGAAGATCATTAATGTTTTGGAACTTTGATAATATCACCAATTGCACTTCTTAAACAAATGAATACATTACATAACCACAAGGGAAAATTGCGAAAGGAAAATTTAGTAATAGTAATACCAAAAGTGGATGACTCCCACGGTATGAGAATATTTAGACTCGACTAATATTGTCTAAAATTCACCTAAACTATAATGATTCTAAAGATTCTATAAGCCATCAGCCATGGGAAACTACTCTTAATTTCATATTCGTTTGTGTAAGAACTTGTATAGGAATGAGACCAACTCTTAACTTAGGTTTTCTTTATTTTTTGTATGCAGATCTTCTTGGCCTCTTTTGTCTGCGTCACGTAGACCACGTGCAGACATTAGACTTCACAAATTGTTTGTTTTTCCAAAAATTGCAGACCCAAAAAGGTATGTACGTCATCTTCTTGGCGTAGATGTGAACCAGAGTCTTCTAACCTAAACAAACACACACACACACACACACACACACACACACATATATATATATATATATATATATATATATCTTTGTTTTCTGTTTTTGTTTTTTTAAACTTAGATATTTCGACTTTATCTATGATAAACAATTTGGAAAAAAAGTAATAAAACTTAAAAGAAAAAAAGGTTTGATGACACAAGCATGGCCTTTGTGACAAATTTATAAATAAAGATTTAATTACAATAACAGTCGTTGGAACTTTTATATAGATATATTAAAAAAATCCTAATATTATCTTATATTTTTTGTGTCAAATTTTATAAAATATTATTTAATGCAGTATCATTGCTTTTTTTGGAAAAATATTTATGGACATTTTTTAATTGATTTAATTGAAAAGGTAAAATAATTTTTTTTTAAATGCATTTAAAAGCAAAGTTTATTTCCATCCATTTTATGTGTTAAAGTTCTTTTATTCTTAATAACAATTTAGGTATAACTTTGTGACCACAGTCTATTGGTTTTTATCAAATATATACGTTAATTCTTACCATATGTTCACTTTTTATACAATAATATATAAAAGTTGATCTACATTTGTTAATTATCTATAATATAGTCATAATATTATTAAAAAACATTTTTAAGTTTTTTTAAAATCAATTTAATTAGATTTTAGTTTATTCTATCAATCTACAGATGTTAAAAAACAAAAAGTATTCTTCTTTCATACTACAAATGTTTGGTCCACATCTTCTACTATAGAGGTCTGCAGATGTGGTCCACAGACTGTAGATATTTTGCTTAAAAAAACAACACCTTATAGTTGTGATTTCAACTTGAAACCAATTTATATGGAAAATACGTGCCACTAACTAATTAGTAATGGTCATTAACATTATATATGGAATTGTTGTCTCATAATCTATATCGATTATGAGACAACTCAAGCTACCAAGGCATCCCACATGAGATAGTTCATGCTACCAAATGGCCCCAACAAATACGTACTCATGATGTTTGGCAACCCTAGTCGGCCCAATTTACATCCAAAGTGAACATTACGTCTACACACACCACTTACAAATCACCTCCATGGCCATCTACATGCATGTGTGTAGGCCTCCCACTAGGAATCCTTCGTAGTTAGTAACTTAGTAAATGTGTTGCTAAAAATGTGTTTGATAAATGTTCATATGAGATTTGATAAATGCTATTGTATTTGTTAGCAAGTTAAAATGATATTTTTTTCTCATTTTAACAAACTTACCAAAAAACATTGAATCATACGTGATATGGTCAAAACTAAACGCTTCGGTTTCTACCAAACTCAAAAACAAGTGTAGGTTATGTCATCCACTATACACACCAATTGTTTGAAAACGAGATGAAAACTGTCCATCAACAACCTAATCCAATCCAACTATTTATTTAAATCTTAATTTCTTTTTACCCGCATACACAACTCAATTAAAACCAATCGTTTATACTTATTAGCAATTTAAAGTTAATATCATTTTAACCCTACAAACTTTTCTCATTTGTTTTAAAAGGTCACTCAATTATTTTTTTTGTATGTTCGAGAAATAAAGTTGAATGTGACCTGGTAAATAAATCCTTAATGTAACATCCCAAAAATAGAGATAAAAAATTTCATTTTATAAATCATCAATCCATACATCAGGTGTCTCAAAATCAATCACAATAAAGTGTATCAAAACCATCAGAGTAAAATAGTAATTAATGCAGAATCATGAGGGGGATGATGTGCGATCAAGCCGAGCCATTCCTTTTGAAACTAGAAGTACCTGAAAACATTTTAAACATAAACGTAAGCACAAAACTTAGTGAGTTTCCCAAAATACCACATGCTATACTAATCAGTAGGCCTAATCATGGGGTATATTCCAACCCAACATACAATCATAGGCCCACCCTAGGCTGTATTTCAACCCAATACATATCAATAGGCCCAACCCTAGGGTGTCTTTCAACCCAATACATATCAATGGGCCCAACATTGGGGTGTCTTTCAATCCAATACATATCAATGGGTCAGCCCTGGGGTATCTTTTAACCTAAACATACATGCAAAAGTCACAAAGACAATTATCATCCAATATAACACAATCTAGTGGGACGACATTGGTGCCTCCGACCCACAAGTATACTGAGAAGACTCACCTTAAAGTCAAGAATATAACAATAATTATCACGCATCCAATAATCGGCTATACAAGTCACCTATACAGCAAACAAGGACCCAATCTCAATCTAGAAACCAAAATTCTCAATTTG